TTGAAATATCATTCAGTTAGAGACATTCTCCAACACTGCAAAGAGATGGATGGTCTCCAGGGTAAGGTTGTCATAAAAAGCAAAATCAAACCAGCTGAATAATACAATAAGTCTGTGTATCAAGCCAGCTCAACCAAGCAGTGATAAGAACTGTGGCAGGCTTTGAGAAGCTGGCTGACAGATTTCATTTGTCTGAGTTCAGATTCTGCCCTGGTGTCATATGTCATATCCTCCCACCATCCCTTTGGTGTTCTACCAGAACCCCTCCAGGTGCTGTCAGGGGACTAGAAGGAGTCAGTCTGCCAGTTAAAATGCTTGAATGGATAATTCAAGAGTAAAGTAAAGAGCCCATTCCATGTATTTTTGGGTTTTTTTATATGCCACAGAATTGATATATCTTTTGCATTTGGCTGTGTGATTACACATCTATTAAACTTCAGGTCACAAATGTGTAGTGCAGTGTTAAAATGGGACATTTGACATAAATAGCAATGAGAATGGAAAATTATTAGGTCCTGTGACAATATCAAGAGTTGTCTTTAAATCTGTGTCTACTGATGCAACATCTGGAGTCATGTATCAGATATTACCAGTGTCCCTACAATTTAAACACAAAGGCCTGTCCACCTGCACAAAATAGAAATTACCCTGTGTTCACCACAGTGTGTCCTCTGTGACTTCATTTCCTCATGGATTTTAACCATTTTTTGCATTCACTCCACCAGGATCAGTGAGGTTGGAAAAGCCCCCAAAGACCACGGAGTCCCAGCTGTGCCCGATGCCCACCTTGTCCCCAGCCCAGAGCTCTGAGTGCCACCTCCAGCCCTTCCTGGGACACCTCCAGGGATGGGCACTGCAAAGCTCCCTGGGCAGCCCCTGCCAAGGCCTGAGCTCCCTTTCCATGGGCAAATTCCTGCTGCTGTCCACCCTGAGCCTCCCCTGGCCCAGCCTGGGGCCGTTCCCTCTGCTCCTGTCCCTGTTCCCTGGCAGCACAGCCCGACCCCCCCGGCTGTCCCCTCCTGCCAGGGACTTGTGCAGAGCCACAAGGGCCCCCTGAGCCTCCTTTTCTCCAGGCTGAGCCCCTTCCCAGCTCCCTCAGCCCCTGCTGGGGCTCCAGCCCCTTCCCAGCTCCGTTCCCTGCCCTGGACACGCTGCAGCCCCTCCAGGGCTCTCTGGCCACGAGGGCCCAGAGCTGGGCACAGGACCTCGTGACTCATAAAGAGTTATATTTTACAGAGCTGTCTAATGCACATTCCTGAGTTAGTTCTGAATGAGTTTTGAGAAATAATTCAGATTACTAAAGCTGATATTTAGAGACATTTTGGTGCATAAATATCCAGCTGATGATTCACGCACCAGCATCTGCTCTGGCTGCTCTGGACGTCCTGGTTACCCTGGTGCTTCCAAAGCAGCACCAGATACTCAGCTCAGGTAGCTGCACCACGCCATGCACAAACACAGCTTAAGAACAGCTGTGCCCAGTTTTGGAAAGTCACCCTGGTGAATTAAACTCTTCAAACAATCCAATATATAAATATATTTCCCACTGCTAGACCTCAGCAGGAGCTAGGGCTGGAGCATCATGAGCAGCAGTTGTCTACACAACAGACACAGTCCCAAAATCCCAAAATCCACTTCTCACCATTCCGTGTCCTTCCAGCAATGAGAAAAACGTGAACAGATCCTCCTGTCAGGAACCTCAGGGCTTCAGGTTTTGAGCTTCAAGCTCCAGCAGACACAAATTTCCAAATCATTTGATACAGATTTCTCCCTCACATTTGCATATACAAAAGATATGTAAAACAATAAAAACCCCAATTAAAAATAAGCAATCAAAATAGCACATTTGGTGAGTAAAATTCAGCATCACACCTTTGATGTGAAACCTGTTATAATTTGAAAACCTAATCTAAAGCTTGCAACAGTTTCAGAAAGCATTCTTCATGAGTGCTGGATAGATATAAGTTTTAATTGCAAATTCTTTGCTTACAGGAGAAATCTTTGGACATTATCAACACCCTGAACAGAAATAGGAAAGGACAAATTACAGTTTAAAATTTAACGGCACTTTTATTTCAAATCAAAATGGAAGGTTTTTCATAGTGTTTGTGGTCTAGTCCTACAGGTTCCTAAAATCAAAGGAATAAAATTGAAGCCCAACATTATTGATAAAAAAAATATTTACATATATATCTCTAAGCAAAGGTCACTTTATAGCTATTGAATTGACAAGAATATTCCTTCCCATAGCAGTTCTAAGCTTTTTGATCATAGACAGATCTCTTGTAGGAGGTGGACAAAGGGCAAACATCCAAAAATTCCTGAGGTGCCAAGTGCACCTGAGCTGTGCATCACAATGGAGACACAGCTGTAGAAGAAAAAATAATTCTAAAAATTCCACTTCACATCCAGTCAAGACACAGGCTTCTACAGTTTCATTTTTATTAATTTTAAAATCTTTACCTTTCTATTTGTGAGCAAAAATAAAAGTGCATTTGAATGAAAATGTCTGGAAGGAAAGAAACCAGTAACTGAAGCTACCTTTAATCAGCAGCACTCAGGAATAAAACAGCTGCCAGAAAGCTGTTTCAGAGCACTGGAGGTACCAGTCCAGCCTGACGTCAGAATGCCTCTGGCAGTGTTGTTCTGACACACTGGTAATGTCTTCAACTTGTTAGCAAGGGTTGTATTAAATCATCTTGTCACCAATCCCAGCTTTTATCAAGTTAACTTAAACAAATCCACCACTTAAAATAGAAAGCATATTTTTTCCATAGAGTAAGTCTGGATACAATATCTTTGAAATCTCATTTCCCCATCTATATCTGGTACCAGACCTGTGTGTGGAAGACAGAAGAAAAGATAAGCACCTTTTTTTCTTTTTGAATTTAAAAAAGTATAAAATGATGAAATGAAATTATTTTTCACTCCCAAACTTTTAAAGCACTACCTTTTAAATAATGTTGATCTTAGCCAAAATGAGAAAGAAAAGCTTGTGGGCGGTACAAGATTTAACATCAAAAGGAAGCTCTCTACAAGAAAAAATATTTTTAAAGAGTTTACACTTACACTTTACACTGTCAGTTATATTTTGAAATTTGGCACCTTGAATACTTTAGGGTAGCAAAACAAATAAAATAAAACAATTAAGTGTAAGAGTGGAGCCAAAGGATGTATATGAAGGCTGACACAAAGCCCCACGTGGCAGCAGTAGATGGATTGAAGGTATGACACAGCTGAGGGTGACTCAAACCCTGGACAAACTGGAATTGTCAGAGAGGAGGGGCCCTGACTTCCTAAGAGAGCACAAACTGCAGCCCAGACTCCTGAATGAACACATATCCATGTGTTCTAACGTTTGTGAACTCTAGGACAAGAGCAAACCACAATATTTGCTTTTATCTAAGCCCTTTTATTACACAAAAGAGCAGTAAAAATGCCTAGAAGTGTTTCAGTAGTTTCTAATTAAAATATTTGAAATCTATCCTGACATAAGCCTCTGCCTTCTCTTCATGAAAATAAACATAATCATGGTGCCAGGAATCATGGTAGATTAAATCCCGTGTCTTAAGATGTTGGTTTTTTTTTCACTCCTAATTCTAAATTTAAGCTGCTACCAAATAACCTGATAAGAAACTAAAACTGACCACTTTTTTTTCAAGCATTGTTCATTTTCTTAAACTAAACTAAGCTATTTTTGGCCAGTTTGGCAGAAATGATCGTGGTTCATCTCTCAGGGATATCAGTCTCTTGGGCAGAGCAACCCCAAAGTGGGAAGGGATAAGTGGTGGATGCACAGCCATATTCCAGCAGAATTTATGGATAGAGGCAGCTGCTGTGTCTCCTGGCTCTGAACTCAAGGTATTTGGGTCAAGCTTGAGCTTCTTAAACTTTCAGGAAACTGGGAAAGTTAATGTAGCTCTCAGAGGAATGGGCCTTCCTGTATTCTTCTGGGTGAATAAACTATACAATTGTTTTGAATGAGCTATTTTGAGTCACTTGAATTAGCAGGAGCTCCCAAAGGAAATTTTCCTACTTGTGGCGAATTCAGTTGGGATTGCTCTGTAAGCACAGTTTTAAAAGAGAAGATTGTGAGTACAGGATTTAGCCTGAGCATGATTAATCCCACTGTTGTACACCTGTGACTAGGAAGGGAGGCAGCAAATGTTCCTATACTGGTGTTTGACAAAACCTGCAAAATGCTTCTTGAGTGATTGTGTTCCTCATCCAGGAGAAGCATTTGTTAAAGCTTTACAATTCAAAATGGGTGTTTCCACTCTCCTAAATGACATACTTTGCCAGCCAGACCCCTCTAATCAGAAGCCTAATTCTGAACAAAACTCACCTCCACTGGTCACATGTGAGAAGGCCACCAAATACCCAGCTAAACCTGTTGGTATTTGGATTCTTCCTCTTCTCTTTCAAAAATAAAGAAGTATCTCCATGGTTGAATACAAGGGCACTGCACAATGCACAGGCTGCCCTGAGCAGCTGTGGCTGTCCTTGGACCCCTGGAAGTGTCCAAGGCCAGGTTGGATGGGCTTGGAGCAGCCTAGGACAGTGGGAAGTGCTCCTGCCCATGGCAGAGGGTGGCACTGGTTGGGTTTTAAGGCCTCTTCCAACCCAAACCATTTTATGATTCTATGATAATCCCATGAAAATGCTTGTACTAGCTTGAAAGCAAACCTGTGAGAGACTCCAAGTCAGAACCACAATTTAACAGGAAAATTAAAATAAATGGAATAGTACAAAATAGTACACTGGCAGAGTCAGAATACAGCCTGACACCCCGTTGGTCAGGGTGCTGGTAGCTGTCTGATTGAATGCTGGCTGCAGTCCCCCTGCAGTGACAGACATGGTTTGTTGAAGCAGTGATTCTGTAGAAGGTGTAGTTTTCCTCTGAAGGCCCAGTGATGTAGAAGGGTCTGGTCTCTCCTCTGGGAATCCAGTGGGAAAAGGCTGCCTGTGGTGTTCCAATCCTCAGATTATATCCAGGCAGGAATTCTTGGCTCCCCCCTGGGTGGAGCATCTCCCAGTGGGATGATGGAATTGTATCAGTCCTGCAGTGAGACTCCATGGCCATTAACAGAAGGTTTCCCCCTGGAGGGAGGATGGGCTGTGGAAGAGATAAAGAACACTGCCCCAGCTGGTTTTAACAGATGGGAATAGAACACATCTGGTCACATCTTGTATTGCAGCCTAAGACAATACTCTGCCCCCACAGCTGAGCTGCATAGCTGATTTCCTTTCAAGAGCCAATAAAATATCCTAATGGATTTTCTTCTTCAAAATCCATCAGCTGCCATAGGACACTATAAATCAGCAAAATTCATGCCTTAGCTGGAAGAGTTCATGATAGTTCTGCAAGATTGACTTACATGTCATCTTGATCACAGGAGAGTCAGTAAAATTATTTAGGTTTCATATCTTAGTAAAGTTCCTAAAGCCTTTGGATTTCTAGTAGATGCACAATCCCATGTTTTGACCTTCCTTCTCTGAGATTTCAGCAAAGGCCACATTGCTGACCTTAAAAACTCCCCTGCTGCAAAGAGAAGCCAAAGAAATAAAGTATGAGTTGGTGGGTTCCCTCCACCTTCAGCAGGAACACAAAGCCATTCCTCATACTTCAGTCAGTTCCATCTTCAGTTCATTCCTTAGAATTCCACATTCCTTAATCTCACCCTTGCTCACTTCCTGCAGATACCAGAACAAAACAACTTTATCTGAACAAGGTTGGAAAAATAAAAGCAAAACTGACTTCAAAATCATGATCTGAAAGGGGCTGGTTTAATAAGGAATTTATTCAGGACCTCCACATATGCAATCTAGTCCATGTCTAGCAACACTTTAATTATCTAAATTAGCTTTATTTAGGGTAAGAATGGGATTCCTGAGGAACCTCAACACTAGAAGACATAAATGACAAAACAAGCCTAAGTGTTGATTCACATACATTACTAATTCAGCTCCTTAAATCTGTATATAGGGGAAATTATTTTTATTTACATAATTGTAAGCAACATACAAGGAGAAAAACTTGATTAAAATAAAAAGGGGTTCTTCACATTACAAAGTATTGTCTATTATAATTTTTTTCCGTATAAATAAAATAAAGCCCAGAATTTTCCCAAACATGACATATTTAATTGGATAGACAAAACAGTCTGACAGGAAGCACACACCATTGGGATACTCTGTGTATCCCCTTTGACTATGCAGAGAATCCATATTTTCCCAGTTTTATAAAAGAAATGGACATTGTACATACCATTAACATGCTCTGGAATAAGGTTTTACAAAAGTTAACATTAATATTTGTGTGACACTAAGAAGTCACCAATCTGCCCTGGATAGGAGATGTGTAGAATATGATCTTTCTTTTTTTTTAATAAGCAAAATATTTTTATCCATGGAAAAAGAGAAAAGATTGAATTTTTGCCTGGATTGTCAAATTTGAAGGAATGACAAATCTCTTCATACCAGCCTATGAAATATCAGATTTCATCTAGAAGGGCTTAAATAGTTTATTAATTTACAACAAAGGACAGAGAAAAACTTAGAAGCATTCAGTATATTTTGGAACCAAAAAAAAAAAATGATTACTTGTGCAACTTCCAGTTGTTAAAAACAGGAAATGGGTTTTTTCCCATGAACTTCCATTGGCATTGGAGCAGTCCTCAGTTCCTTTGACCACAAAAAAAAAAAAAAAAAGAAAGTTAAAGAATATTAAGAGAAGTAATATCTTATGCTAAATTCAACATTTTTACTTACTCTGCACAATTTATTCTATCTGGTCAATTTTGAGAAGTTTGGAACTAGAAGTGCCTCTTCTACTGTCCTCTTCCTTTCTGCAAATACATTGAAAAAATTTTGAAAACAGTCCAGAGAGTTTTCATTAACAAAGGGATGTCAAAGGCATGTCAGGAAAATCTCCAAGGAAAGTTTAGTAAATGTTTCTCCATTTTTAATAATAAATATTGATTATTTAACAGCAAGGCTTCCAAATGCTGAAGTGGCACAAACACTGTTGGCAGCAAATCAACAGAGTTGGAACTGTCTACACTGAGTATAAGAAAATAAAGTTAAGTGCAGTAATCTTGGGAATTATTTTACTTCTCTAAGTAAAATGCCTTAGCCTACATTATTTTACTTTTAATTATTTCATGGTCACCAAATTCACTTTGTGCTGATGTTGTGCTTCAGCCAAGGATTGTTTCCAAACAAACCTGAAGTTAAAAAATATTTAAAAAGTCATAAAGGATACAGACAGGTGGAGTCTGGGCTCTTCCCAGGGAACGAGAGACAGGACTAAAGGAAACAGCCTCAAGCTGTGCCAGGGGAAGTTCAGGTTGGACATCAGGAAGAATTTGTCCATGGGAAAGGTTGTGACTGAAACACTTCCCATCAATATTTGTTCTAAAAAGAAAGGGGTAGAAGGAAAAATTGTGACATCGTGTTGGCTCTTGGTTTGTATTTATTGATTTAAAAATCCATTTAACCGTAACTTGTTCAGTGTCTTATTATGCCCAAGAAACATGACCTAACCAGTGCTGAACAACTTCTGAGAAGGAGCCTGATTGATTTCAAATCTCAGTCATTTAACTCCAAGCCAAAACGAGCACTGGACTGCAAAGCAATGAACATGCTTCAATCACAAGTGTTGATATGAATCTGGCCACATGGGGAAAGCCACCCAAGGGCACAGGAAGAATAAAGAACAACAAAGCAAACAAAGATGTGAACAGACAGGAGCTGTTCATTATGGTTATACAGTAATTGAAACAAAGCATGTTTCAACAAAAGTCAAAATGTCTTTAAAATAAAACAAGGTGTGGAAACTGAATTCAAAGCTGTTATGTGCATCTTCATCTGTTCTGTGAGTTTTAGAGACTCCACAAGGTGTTTGCAGTCTGCCCAAAGGCTGAGGAAGTTCTTGAATTTGACATTTTAAAAAGACAAATATTCTGCAAAATAAGATTGGAGCAAGCTGCCCCATAAGCAACCTGAATACCTTTCCAAATGAAAGTCATACCTCTAATCTCTTCTCAGCATTTACAGGAACTGCCTGTAACTCTGCAAATAATTTTATCTAGTGGTCAGGCAAGTAGAAGCAATTATCCTTTCAGTCTAAGGCAGAGCACACATACATGTATATTTATTTTCTGATGAGGTGAAAATGGACTTTCACCTGAGAAGAAGATCATTGAGGAAGTCTGTAGGCTCAGTTTAATTAATCCTGAAAATATAATGGAAAGAACATAATAGCAATGGGAAGAATAATACAACACTAATGAGAAACTCATAATATTCAAAATAATTACTGTAATATTCTTTTACAGCAGATATAGCACAGACTGAAAGAGGAATACTTTAGCATATGAAAACGTGGTGTAGCATCTCTACAGAGGGACAAGAATAACCATTCACAAACAAATGCTAAAAATTATTAGTGTCAGACTGAAGCAGACAGAAACACAGGGTGAGGAATCCCAGCATGGATCATGGTAACAATAGGCTGGGGAAACTCAGAATTGACACCTCTGGACATAACTTAAGTACTTAAGTATTACACCTAATAATGCCAATTAATAATGCTAATAATGATGCACTCAGATGGCAAATAAGAGCTTCCTCAGTGACCTGCAAACCCTGCATCTGAAAACAACCCTGCTAAAGCCCAGCTGAGTAGTTTCATACTAGTTTTTTTTCTAATCTTCTGTGATGAGAATCTGTGTCTTACCCAGTAAAACAGATTAATACAATGAGAAAGACTTTCATTACATCTGCTTCCTTCTGATCTTTTTTTAGAGCCTAACGCTAATGATGAGAATTTGATTTCCTGTGTTTATAATAAAGCAGGCATTAGCTATATGTTCTTAATTAAAGCTTTAAGATGTAATAGAAGAGGACATGAGTAGATTTAAAAGTACTGAAGTATTCTTTGAAAAAGTTTCAGCATTTTGCACTTTGCTTCCAGTGTATGAACACAGAGATTTCACAGACAATGGAGCCAGAGCTGAAGACTTTACAAATAGGAGCAGCATTCCAAAAGCCCACAGAGGAACCGGAAGAATGGATCATTTCTCAAAACTGAGATGCAGCAGAGAATGTAGTTCAGTTTCAAAATTTCCTGCTGCAGGAATCTTTTCAACTTCCCCCCATCCATGTGGGTTTTCACCCCTTCATCTGATCTCTGTCTTCAGCAGCAGGGGTGAGCACTGGGGTGTTGAGAATTCCATTTACTGAATTAAAAGTGCCATTATTTCATTCTTCCATCTCAAGTTAGTTGATTCATGAATAGCACAAAAGAATCTGGCCTTAGTTGATACTGGACACTGAGGTAATTATTCATTTGTCTGTTGCAATCGACTAAAGCAGTGAAAACTGTGTAATAAGGGATTTAAAAGATGCAAAGGAACCTTAATATCCACTGCTATTCACTGGTATCACTTAATATCCACTCGTTCACTGGTCTGAGTTTATTTGCAGATGCCAAGGGCTGAGAGGGCAGTGGGAGCTGGGCAGGCTCCAGGAGCGGCCGCTGGGAATGGCTGAGGCTGAACAAGGCCGAGTGCTGGGCTGCCCCTGGCTCAGGGCACCCCGGGATCCGCCCGGGCTGGGCTGAGCAGCTGCAGCAGCCCTGGGAGAAGGCCCTGGGGAGCTGTGGGGCAGAGCTGGGCCTGCCCCGGCCGTGGGCGCTGGGAGCCCAAAGCCCCTGCCCTGGGGAGGGGATTGTGCCCCTCTGGGCCTCAGGTGAGACCCCACCTGCAGAGCTGCCCCAGCCTGGGCCCAGCACAGCAAGGAGCTGGAGCTGCTGCAGAGAGCCCAGAGGAGGCTCCAGGATGAGCAGAGGGATGGAGCAGCTCTGCTGGGAGGAAAGGCTGCCACAGCTGCCATTGTTCACCTGCACAGGAGAAGCTTTGGGCTGAGCTCAGGGTGGCCTTGCAGGGCCTGAAGGAGCTGCAGCAAAGCTGGAGAGAGACAATTGCCAAGGGCTGCAGGGCCAGGAGGCAGGGAATGGCTGCCAGTGGCAGAGGGCAGGGCTGGATGGGATCTTGGGCAGGAATTGTTCCCTGGCAGGGTGGGCAGGCCCTGGCACAGGGTGCCCAGAGCAGCTGGGGCTGCCCCTGGATCCCTGGCAGTGCCCAAGGCCAGCTTGGACATCGGGGCTGGGAGCACCTGGGACACTGGGAGCTGGCCCTGCCATGGCTGGGGTGGGATGGGATCGGTTCAAGGTCCCTTCCAGCACAAGTCACTTTATGTTTCTAAGATTTCCCTTTCAAAATTATTTTCATTTATCATGTCCTTGCCTTGATCCGTGATTAAGCTGCCAATAAAAATTGATATTTGGTGGAGAAAAGGAAGCAAATAAGTCCTCTCGGTAAATTAACCAGTTGTCATATCACTTTTTGCATCTTGAATTACTTTTTCATCCCCTCTCCAAAGCTGGCAGAAGATGCTTTAACATCTCATCAGCTCAGCATTCTGAGGACTAAACTGCCTTCCTAGCCCTTAAATTTGTCAGCACCTTCTATGTCAGAAGACAATAAGAAAAGAGGCCATAAATATATTGCATAAATGAAAGTTTATATCTGAGAAGAGTAGCTATGATCATTAAACTTATGATTATCAAGCAAAATTCAGGAAATCCTCTCCCTTTGCCTGGCTGCATGAATTTCTATCTTTGGAATAACTTGTGTGACTTCCTCGTTCATTATTTGCACTTTGTTACTGTGAACAGCATTAATGGGTCCTCCAGGGAAATGTGATAAATAACACAACACATACCTCTCTAAAATAAATGTTGGTGAACACAACATATTGTTTTAAGCTATTAGCAACTGAAATATAATGACTAAGTTTTTTGTAACCCTTAAGAAGAGCCCCCTTGGTTGCTATTACTCACAATTAGCTATTTATGGCTAATTTGGGATTTATGAGCTTTAGTGCATGGAATCGGCACCCTCCATATGCTTCTTCCATATCTCTAAATTACTGTAGGTTGCCATGGTATTTTTTTCCTTCACATCATCACATTTTGCACCAGATTCCAGATTTCTCACAGTGAAGGAAGGCAGCTGGTTATCCCTCTTCAGTTTTGTTGGGCAAGGGATATGGATTTGCTTTACTTCCCGAGCTGTGCTCAGTGACAAAACACAGGAAGCCACTGAAGAGGTAAATGTGAAATATGACTTTTGAATATTGCTATGCCAGCTCCTTCTCTTCCACATTTTCAATCATGCCAATTGCTTTAAATATCTCTTAATGGAATAAATTAGGGAGAAATGATTTTGTAGAAGTAGTGAGGTCACCAAAAGGGTTGGAAAAACTGTGATCCCCTCCTCTTTGGTGGAGTGAAATTTTTGACATGATATACACAAAACATAGTTTTAATACATATGTAAATCACCCATAAATATGATAGATAAAGAAGGTTCTTTTGGTTTTCCATTTTTCAGGCATGAGGTTTCAAATTGTTTTAATTTTGTAAGAGGTGTTCAAAGACAGCATTGTCATTCAGTTGAAATATGTGTTATGAACCAGAATCCACCTTGATTTCCAGACAAATGCAAGTCCTTGTTCTTATCATTTTACTGTCTTTTAAAGATTGTAAAACTTCATTTGTTCTTAATAACTCTGTATCTGCAGAGTTCCACTGCGTCTGACAGAGCCATTCCAACTTTCCACCAGCACAAATGAGAGGACAAGGCAGCTCAGGGACTTCTAACACATCTTTAAGGTCTTATACAATCAACTGCAAATTTGCTCCACCCAATAACCACCCAGTCAGCAGGGAAAAAGGTAATTTTCAATTTATTTAGACATGAAAGCAGTTAGATTTGCTGGTTTAGGCACAGCTCTGTTTTCATGAGAATATCATGTCTGTGCTCAGATAAGCTATTTCTCTTTCATGACACAGATATCAAGGATAATTCTTTTGTGAAGACCTAAAAGACAGGAATAGACTAAAATAAGGCAATCCTTTCCAGGAAATGTATTTATTGATTTGAGTACGAAACTTATCTTCTCTTAAATCTGTGTCAAAACCTTGAACCAATCAGAGTTTGGCTTATAATAAAAAGTAATACACACATCCAGCTGTAAAGAAAGAGAAGTTCTCTCTTCACCTGTCCTTGGAAATACACACATAATTTTTAAAAATGTAATTGTTTTATACAAGGACAATGGGAAACTAAGCCTCCATGATATTTGAAGACTTTTGATTTCAAATTAACTGACAGACCAGAAAAGCCATGGGGCACAAAATTAATTCTCCAACCACTTGAAAACTTCAAAATTTATACTCTGGGTCTGGACAAGAAAAAGAGAAAAGGCTGTCTTTTATTTTATTTTAAATCAAGGACCATTGGCAATGCAAGTTGAAGTGGTATATAAAGATCTGATCCCTCTCAGCCCTAAATCTATACTTCACTTAATTAAAGAGCAGTAAGTTCATTTACACTGATATTCTCCTGCTCAGTTTGACTCAGATGTAGTGCACCAAAATCCCACATTTTAGTGTGAAGTTGCAATCTCAGGGCTCACCTTCCCAGACAGAATCCATGCTTCCTGAAGTGCCAAGGAATTTTAAATAATTCAAAAACCTGAAGCATTTGGGAATAGCAGTGAGAGTTCAGTTTAGCTTGGGTTTGCAAGCTGCTGGATAATGAAAAGGACTTGAGCAGTCCCACTTGGTAAACTCTGCCTGCACAGAAAGATTCTTTTTGTCATTGTGATTAATTAGGGACTTGGAGTTGCAAATAGGAGCTTGTTAATACCTAAAACACAGCATAATAACAAAAAGGTAAGGACAAATAATGAAACATTGTTTCCTTGAAAGAACATATGTAAGCATTGATTTAATAAGACATTTAATATTTTTTTTTCTACTTTTTTTGCAGTAATAACAGTCAAAACACTACAGCAGTCAGGCACAGAGGTACAGGGAGAAGGATGCTCTAAGTTCAGGATGGCCCCTCCCTATGAAACTTATCCATTTCACCTTCACTGTAACAGGAAAAAAGTGATTTCTAAATGCATCAGTAATCTAAGTCCCATATTTTGGTCCTTTGTTGCCCCTGAATCCCTTATCTTTATGGCAGGCTGTGATATTATCTGTCTCACTGCAGGACAGAAAATAAGAGGGCTGTCAGGATGACATGCATCTAAAAGCATGAGCTTACTTTAAATGAAAGACCTTCCAACAATTGAAAGTATTTTCTCCTTTTGGTGTATTTGATATTGCTTTACTTGCCAATATGCTTGGATGGAGGGCAAAAAGCAGGAAAATCCTTTCTAATGCCTGTGCTCAGGCTGAGCAATATGGAACAGAGCTGAACCTCCTGTGCTTGGGATTCTGTCCAACCACTACCACATTCCAGTTAAAATCCACATTTATTTTGCATTATGTATAAGTCAGTATAATAGAATCAAATCAAACAATAAACACAAACTGTACTTCCATTGTACAAAATATTTACAGTGATAAACTAAATACTGATACGACCCCTTGTAATGCCTTAGGTTTCAGCACATGTTAAAGATTGAGCAATGAGCAATATACTTATCTCATTATGAAATATTTATCTTTTCCTTTTCTTTAAAGGATAAATAATCTATTTTTCCCCAAAAATATTTTGCTTGGAAAGTACTTGTTTTCCTTTATGGGATTTTAATACTTAATTAAAAATTGTGGTCTTCCTTGAATGGGATATATGTTAGAATTAAAATAAAATAAGAACACAAATAAAAATTAAAAATAAAAATAGAAATAAAAATGAATCTTATCAAACAAAATGGAATTTTAGTCACAATATTAACTGAAGCTAAATTGTATGGTATTTCAGGGGCACTAATGAGTTAACTCAGAAAAAATCCAATGGCAGAATTTTGCTCTAGATGTCATACAAAAGTTAGTAGGGTTTGAGATTTCTAAAAACATTCAGTCTTGGTCTTTCTTAATCCTCAAGAATTCAATGATGAACCACTCATAAGCTTTAGTGGAATCAGCAAAAAGTTTCCAGCACACTTGCCATGTATAGAGAAATTACTTGTTCTCCCTCCCAAAAATCCTGTCTTCCTCCAAATCTGTTCTCATCAGAGACAAATATTTTGGGCACTGTATTTGTAACAGCAGAACACCAAAATTCAGGTATTCATAGGAATATGAACTCAAGCACAAGACAAGGTGTTGGGCAGGTAAATTTGTGCCCAGACCATTGCAGAAACAATGCAATATTGATGTATTTTTCAATAATTTGTCATGTTGTAAATTGTGAAAAATACACATGAAATCCTCTTTACCTTTGGTCTTTTTCTTAAAGTGCTTTTCCTTCACTGAGTTTCCAGCACTGTTTATTTCCTGACACACACACAGAGCCCAGTGAGGTATATCTGAAGCACCCAAGGCAGACACGTAAATTGCAGGTGGAATTTTAGCAACTCTAGGAAAATATGATCGATAGTTATAGGAAAACAAGAGGAGTTTATATAATTGAGACCACAGCAGAGTGGGAAGCAGGTATCATTCTATTGGGTTTTTTTTTTCAAGTATTTGGGGCTTTGGTTTTTAAATTTCTCTGACAGCAGAGCTGTAATTATTACAAACTTGCAGTAACTAATTATGTCTTCTGATGCTGAGCAAATTACTTCTGGACACATGTAACACAGGTCTGCTTTTCTGATAACAGAAATTATCTGCAGTGTTCTGTTGTTAATCACCTCACTCATTTAAAAGTAAAAAGAATGAGATTTTCAAAATCCTATCTTTGCAAGATCAATTTGGTATTCACTAAGCTGTGTATGCTAAACCTTTCCAAAGTGGTTTGATAGCAAATTATGAAGACACCTCTACTTTTATTTCTCTTTAGAAAGTAAATTTACATTTGGTATAAATGTAAATCATTCTCATATTTGACCAGTTTTCCACCACGGGGTCCTTAATGGTCCTGTAAAGCTTTACTTGACTTTTGTCACTCAGAGGTGAAAAAAATAGTGGAAATAACAAAGCCTGGAACACCAAATACTCAGCACACTGCTCTTCACAGGAGAAGCTACCATTACATGGAGACATGCCCAGAATTCAGGATCCACATTTGTGTGATATCTGACTGTACTGCCTGCCTGTGTGGTACAGGGCACGCTGACAGGCTGCCAACCCAGCCTTGCAGATGTGAAGGAGGTACATGAACACTTTGGGGAATGTAAATCCAGCTCTTGCCAAACGATGTTCAGCACTGGAAACCCAGTAGGTGTTATAAAAGCGAAGTGTGAAGGACCCTGTTGGCATTAAGACAGTACAGGGAGAGCAGTGGGATGTAGGGAATGGTTCAGGACTGGGACTGGGAACCCAGCAGCGCTTGAGCAGCTCATGTGGGAGTGCCTTGAGAGAGCCCGTGTCACACTGCTGGCACAGTGCTGCAAGTGCTGCAGTACCAGGAACACAATAAAGCCACTATTTTCACCTCCCTTCATACCCAGCTCAACAATCTAAAGTTTGTTTAAAGTTATGTTTTTGTCAATTTACAGCATGATCATCTCAAAGACCAGAAGCATTGGTATCCCAGATATGTATGATGCTGCTCAGTGTAGTTCATTCTACACACTCACATGAAAAAAAACCTTTGCATGGGTTAATGGCATTAATTCAGTTTATGGCTTGCAGAATGCTGCTGCTTTATTGTCTGTTTATGTCTTCTGAGAAAATACATAAGTAGTACAGTTAAAAAAAGTTAATCTCAATAGAGTCTTCTCCAAATGCATTCCTTTGGTGCCTGTGATTTACTCTGCAATCTGCTTCTCCTTGAGGGCATTGCAACTTCTTTGGTTAGTTTTGTTGTGTACTACACCATTATTTTACAGAGCATTAAATATCACCGTGAAAATATTAGGCCAGTGTAAATATAATCTTTGAAATGTGTCTTGTTATTCATAATAGGGCACCTTGTGTATTTTCACCTGGGCTATGCATCTATTTCACTTCAGCAGATGTTGCTGATGCTCCTAGGGGTATTCTAACTTCCACAGTTTTATTTTCTCACTGAGTAACCAGATGTCAGACCACAGAAACCCCAAATCCTGATGAAATGTATGTCTACTCCAGTGACCAGAATACAAATTAGGTATCTAATCTACCCCATCAGGGCATAATTGCAGATTGAAGACTGCAGGCAAAGCCCTAACTGGTGCTTACTTTGCATTTCTTCCAAATATATAACACACTCAGAAAGAATGATTCTGAAGTCTGCACTCTGCTTGGCTCTGTCAAGAATTGCTGAGTGACTTTTTCTTTATTTTCACTATGTGGCCAATGGGTTTAATGGAGAGCTACAACAAGTCCAGACAAACACAGCTGGAGTGATCAGAAGCATGCAAGAGGTTCATAATGATGGGAAATTAAATAGGTTACACAACTTCCCCTTCCTAAAGAAAAGACTGGCAAAGGAATATAATGGAGATCTGAAAGTTGCTAGGGATGCAAAGAGCAAATGGCTGTGTTCTTCCTCAAAACACAGAAACCTGTCTTTATTCAGGGGAACCATCAGGCAGCAGGTTTAAACCAAAGAACTCATGCAACCAACATGTTTGCTACATGAAGGTGTGAAGATGAAAGGATGTAGGGCTTCAAAGGGAGTACAGAAGCTCAGGGGACAGAGATTTAGCATTAACTATCAAACGCTGATATCTGTGTGCAGAGATCTTGTACAAGACACCCACATTTCCTGGAAGCTGGCAAAACATGATCCTAGCTATGATGTGTTCTTTCCCTAAAATTCCAGTAGTCCCTTCTCTTGGAATAAAATGTCAGATAAGCTAAATTTAGCCTCGTGTGGCCATTACATAATGAGCAAATCATTTATCACAGAAGCACAGCATGGTTTGGGTTGAGAGGAACCTTAAAACTCACCCAGTCCCACCCCCTGCCATGGGCAGGGACAGCTTCCACTATCCCAGGGTGCTCCAACCTGGCCTTGGACACTTCCAGGGATGGGACATTCAAAACTTTTGTGGACAACCTGGTCACATCAGCTCAGGAAATTTCACATTTTCATGAAGAGAGGAACTTCTGGTGTTTAAAAAAACCTTCAGAAATGTAAGAGAAGGAAAGACTGGGATAAAACTAATTTTTAAAAAAAATCTCTGGACTGTTTTATTTCTTTTTTTTTGGTGCAAATTTAGCAAGTATAATGCTTGATCAAGTTCACTTTTGGCCTAGATAAGCACTGGTGATCTTAATTTTTTAAAGGAAAAGGTACTTTGTACCTAGGGATGTCAACAGAAGGCAAGAAATATGCTTAAATAATGCAGGGATTTTGCCACAAAAATCTGCAGCCACAGATTCCCACCTGGGAAATGCCCAAACATTGTGTGAAATCACTACATCACAACCAATTCCTGCAGTCATGAGAATAACAATGTGCTTGACTAGTTTTCCAGCTTAAATCACACAAAATTAGAGGTAAAAAGGGAAAATTACATAAAACAGAACAATTTCTCACTTGTATCAAAATTGGGCAAGGATAATATTTTATGAAATATCAATGAATTTAAATTATTTCTTTCCTGGTTGTTTTAGCACTTGCTGATTTGCTTGAGATTCTACACATGTGATTTTACATGTGATTTTACTTTAAAAAAATAAAACAGTGCCTGGAAAAATCTCATCCGTTGTGAGCAACTGCAACTATAAACTTTGTACCTTTTTTTGTAAGCTGTTTTGTAAAATATGTCTTGGTCATATTTAATTAAATTAACTGCTCAAGCATCTGTATTACAGTGTCAGAGTTATTCCAACTTCTCCTGAAGAGCTGAAGGTTTATAATGCCTTTCAATTAGTTTGGAAAAGAAAGCTGTTTGTGATATTGGTGGTGATATTTTAGCTGGTGGTGATATTGAACTGGAATTTGAGCATTTTGCTTATATATAAAATTATCCAATCTAAAATAAAATATTAAGGATAGACAATATATTCTATCAAGTTGTGTGTTGGGAATAAGAGTTAAAAACCAAAATACCAGCCAAGACAAAGACCACAGAGAGCCCCTGACCTATATATAACACTCCTGAATTATAAAATACTACAAATGGTTTATCCAATGAAATAATTTATATTTCATTAAATAGAAGCAGTAATTCCCTTGGTGTTAGCAACTTAAAAGCAGAATCACAGGGAATAAAGAAACACACCATGGGATAGGAAAATCCAACCAAACTTTAATTTAACTTGTCCAGAAATTTAGTACTATTTGAATGAAAGTACACTTAGTAATATCCTGAATATATTTATGTCTTTAGCATGTGACAATGTCCAAAATCAGTATTATTACAGTAAAGAGACTGGCAATTATAGGGATTTTAACAGTATTATGAAGAAAATTCTAGTATTTAAAATAGATTATCACCAAAACTTCCACCAAAAAAATTAAGCAGATCTCTGGGACATCTTTTGCCTTTAGACAAAATAATCTTTCATTCATTTTGTGAATAAAAGCAAGAAATCATCTTCAAGCCCATTGAAACATTCATTAGGAGGATACCACTAACATCAT